CCATCTTACACATTAAGGGGGCGTTTATTTGCTAATTAAAACAGACAAATGACATTGCGCTACCAGTACAAAAAGTTTAACAGCAATCCAGACCCCTCTAAAGAGACCTTCCTGAATCATTCTCATCGTAGATACGCTTGTCTTTTAGCCTTTTTTTCGCTCCCTCTTTTAAAGGTTCGCCAGGGCCTGATAGCCTACGCATACGCGGATGGTTATCCCGCAGATGTGTTAGTTCTCAACGAGGAGGCCTTGGAGCACTACTTCCAGGTGTGGTGCAGTCGGGTAGAGACCTATCACCAGACAGTCCGATCGGCGGGTCAGTGAAGCTACCTCTCATCCTTCTCCATCCCTCAAGTCACCCTTTCCCACTTTTTATACTCGAAAAGAAGGCAAAGCTGAACGATTGCGCGTCATCTCTTCCATCTGTTGTGTATGTGCGCGCTTTGATGAAAAGTGTGGGGTAGGGTCGTCACCTTGCAATTAGTTTACTGAAGTAAAAATGGCATTTCATTTTTTGCGGTGGCCACTGCTTTTGTTACCCTTTTGTGTGTTTCACGAAGTATTCCTTCTTCAGTGTCAATCGCATCATGACAGGAGTGAGGAGGAAACAAAAAATAGTGTTAATATGGAGGGGCTGTGTACGTGTGCGTAATTGTGAATGCTACTTAAAAATGCGGCTAATGATTGAAGGAGAAGAAAGTCTCATCTAACTATTCTTCTCCTTTTCTCCTCACTTTGTTCTGCGAGTTTACACTGCTTCAGAGATGCCAGCGAGGTCGGTCGATGCGGAGTTGTGAGTGTGGATGATTTGATGCGCAGCTTCTACATCACTCGACGTAGTTTTTAACGGGTGCGTTTGTGGTACACTAAAGTATGGCATCACCTCGTGCTCCCCAGGCAACGGTGGAGCTGTTGCTGCTCTTGTGACTGATTTTGAGAGTACTTTTTTCCACGCATGTGGGAAGAAGTGGGTTTTGGGTTGGGTGGAGCTCCTTCTCAGGCAACTTCTCCAGTCCAGGCTGCTTTCAGTTATCATGAATTCGGCTTTAGTCAATTGTGGCGAGGAAGAGGACATGGGACTGCTGTTGCAAGTTTCACCTATGGGAGGATGAGTTACGATGGTCTTCTGGGGGCTTTTGGATGGTGTGCCATCACTGCTGGAGGTTGTGGCGGTGAGAAGGGACTTCTGTAGGGTGCTATCTTCAAAATTAGGATTGTTGGAGTCGGTGTGGATGTGATGGACTTCAGGAAGGCACGAATAGGAGGCACTGAGACGCCAGAACTTGATGGGGGCGAGTGGGGCTTCGTCGAGCTTTGCGCTGAAAAGCAGCGATTGGTGGATACTGTCTCTTCCTCCAAACACTGCAGGCACTTTGTCAGACCGAATTGGTGGTGAGGCACCCTCAGCATTGGTGGAGATTGTCAGCGGCACAGCGAGGCTGGATTGTGCTGAATGTGTGGTCGGTCCGCCCTCCAGATGGAATTTGGTTTGATTGAGCTCGGTTGCACGCAATTTCTTTAGTTTCTGACGGTACCGCAAGCAGATGCAGCAGGATATTAGCACAAAGAAGGGAGTCAGTGCAAGTGGGGCCAGAAAACAGGTGATGGCGACGGGGTATCGGTTACCGAAGTCGGGTGATTCTTCCTTATCATCAGAATCGGTGCCTATAATAGCGTTAATGCGTCGCGTTAAAATT